AGCTAGATCTCAACAAAAGGCATTATAAATAAGTGGACAATAACAATCATTAACAACTTACATTCCATAATGATATGGTGGGATTGAAAAGTAAAATTACATTCCCTTACTCATTGTGATTTTTGTGTCAACATTACTTCAGTCTTAATTCAATGTGATGGCAACTCAGTGTGGTATTTACTTTGCGTTTCCAGTGTGATATTCAATTCGGTATAACATTGATTTATTTGAGTGTGATGTTTGTTCGAGATATGATATTCTTGTATTATATTAACGTGAACTATACTCTACACCATGAAACATATTATTGAAATTTCTGTCTGCAAAACTGACTGCTGCCGCCTTCTTATCGACTTCACAATATTTGTATCCTACTGAACTGTAAGTTAGAAAAGTCTACGTGTTCGTTTACACACTGTGAAATGATTGGACATTACACATATTATAACCGAAATCAACCACAACAGCTATTGTCTTATAGTTAATACCATGATATCCAGGCAGCATACTTGTCCGAAACAGAAATTTAACGTTAATAAGTTACATTCAACTTTGCCTACTTAACAGCTATCTAAATATCCATAAAGTGAAATCACTAAACTACAAATTATTCCTCTAAACCTCTAAAATTGCTAAAACTGAAAAAAGCAGCAAATTATAACATTTCACCCCAGGATGAAGTCAAAATTTCTGTCTATGCAATAAAAGATCTATCGAAAATTCCCTATTCATCTGGAAATGGTCGCAATAATTTTGAATAGAGTAATAGTTGTGCTGTATTTTGTAACTTTATTAAACTTGTTTCACATGGCATAATTTAACACCACACATACATGATCACTATATCTTGGAGTAGAATGCCAATCATAAGTGAATTATTGGTTTTACTTCAGATTATATGACGGACTTAATCGATGATGATTGAACAGAAGTTGATAAATTCTGAACAGATTGTTTCAGAAAATGTACTAAGAATAGTATAGTTCAAACTACGAAATAGTGTATTAACAAGATCTTCTCTCTTCATTACACAGATGAACATGCTTTCTAAACACCTACCTCACTTTATTCACTTAAATCTATTTTTTCTTTGTGTAACTTGCGTAAATGATATTATAAGAAGTCTTCTAAAAGAACCAGAATAATGTCTCTGTCCTGTCTTCGATTGGTTTTATGTCACACATTAAAATATTTCCAAAATGGAAATAAACGTAAACTATTGGCTTTCTCTCAGTTAATACTGTCAATGCAACTGATGAATATGTTGTTCGTATGTATTATAAGGTAGAATGTTGTACATAAGCATACACGATATTCAACGTTAACATCATTTGACAGCGATTATCGTAACACAGAATTTTTGTATTCAATACCCAATACATAACAGATGTGATTTGCCTAAAAATGTCTAATTTTAATTTGATGACACTCAAAACTATCAACTTGAATGATTGCTGTATCACGAGTTATGGATTTCTAAAAGGTAGTGCATGCAATGTCGAGTCACCTAGACAGGTGGCCACATGGCAACTTGATCGAAAGTATTTAATCTGCACTAAGAACGACCTGACGCACATGACATTTATCACCACCCAGTGATCAATCAATTGTGAATACATCTCAGTCCCACAGGAGGTCAGTCGCGGCCCGAATAGTTCAGTGGCGACGTCTCTACCTGTGAAGCTGGGTGACGCGGGATCAAATCCGTCAGCGAGCACCAGTTCCCTCAAGATTAGGGCGTAGTGGTTGTGCTTCGTTAACCAATCACCCTCGTGACCGTTATTATATAAACCACAACGGTGTTTGAAATCAGAAAGCAAAGAGAAGCAGTAACTACAGTTGATTAGCAGATAGCTCAGACGACAAAGAGGAGAGACGAATGAATGAGTCAGTGAGTCGAGTGAATAGGATTAAATGAATCATCGAATCAATTCAGTGACTAATAGTAAAGCTAGCAGGGTGAATATATACGTAGGCAGTAAGCAATGCTCAAGCATACATATTCACACATTCGAAACGATAATAAATGTACAATGATATAGATAAGTTGTTATTGTACGGATGATTCAGTCCGTTAAATAAGTTAACAAAAGAGCTTGACTGAATTAAACGTGAACAAACTTAATTGCATGTGAGTTGCTATAACAGATACATCTTGCTAACGAGTGCCAAATAGCACGAAAACCAGGTCAAGGGTATCCCGTTGAGTACCTTCAAAGACCACCTTCGTGACAGGTCATGCAAATTCACCTTGACCGAGAATAACTTGAGATTAACATATCCAGACCTATTATGATTCGGATTGTACTAAAAATATTCCACATTGTTTCCTTTGTACTATTTAAACTTGTGTTAATGTAATTCGGTTATTTAGTTACTCTGGATTTTGATGGAGTTTTGTTCTCTGAACTGGATGGTTACTCTCGAGAAGTGGCTAACATTAAGTCACGAAAAGTGAGAAATACATTTTTCTACTCTTTGGGATATAACAAAAATATGTTTAATATTAACCCTCTACCCAATGTTCAATTTATTTGAAACTATCAACTCCAACCTTAGGCATTGATACCTACAAGTAAAAAATTTTTAATGGGCTAGATGAATTAACATAGTTTTCTGAGCTTTGGTGATACAGACATGCACTTTTATCAATTTAGGTTATGAAACAGTTCTTATTGTCAAAAGATCATGAAATATTATTAGACGATATTTAGTTTACTCACATTGACGTTTGGTAAGAGGATATTATAGTATTTTCAAAAAAACCTCCAGAGATCATACATGAAGACCACAAAATACATAATCGTACCTACATGACTTGTTCACACTATCTATTGACGCCAAGACAGAACAATTCGTGTTCTGGAAACATTTGACGATTACTTAAATGGTACACAATTTCACGCTCTTTTCATTTTATCTCCATTTAAGTAAGTATTCGCTTTCCGAAAATTGATTTTACCTCCACTTATCCGAATTTCATTATTCTTGCCATTTAGCTGTAACGAAAATAAAACATTTTCTGTAAAAAACAAAATTTGTATATCATAGATACGAAAGTTTTCTATCTCCTTGTTTTCTGTTATTCCAACATAACTTTTTAGTGTTTAGACCTTATTTTCTCCAATACTCCTCGACACCGTAATGTTTTTTTCACAGCCTGCAGGAAGAACGTCTTTGAAAACTTGTCTTCTCAAAGTTACGTGAAGTGAATAGTCTCTGAATCTTATTTAATATATGGAAGTTGCTATGTTTAATTTAAAAAATAATGTCTTTTATTGGTTGTTGATCACTACCCGAATAACTATATAGATAGTTAGAAAGTATACTTTGACAACTTACGAAGAGCTAGTCTATATTTAAGCGCTTGAAATATCGGCTCAGTATGTTTTCTATTCACTATTAATCCAGAAACTTTCTGGAACTTTCTGATATAACCCTAGAGAATGGGAGTTTTGAAATTCCTCATATCTGATTTTGGCTAAATTATACATATTTTGTATTTATAAGTCTTTATTAAAAGTAAACTCCTTATTCATCCAGAAGAATTTATTATGTTTCCGGTTAGTCGTGTCGGTAACTTATTTCTAATATATTTAAATATTGTAAAGCATTTTTCAGTCCAAAAAATATGTATTTTTATTACTTACGTATAAGAATCGCGAAATCCTGCTAAGCTCTTTTATAAAACGCTCCAATTTATCATTGGGATGCAATCTATACAACTCAAGCTTAGATACCTCAGTTTCTGGCATAGTTTCTACTTAGTCTATACTTTGGATATAGGCGAAACATTTTATTCAACTTATTTTAAAACAAATGTCCTACAGCGTTTTAATTATTGAAGAAAAATGTTTTAGAACATATGTAAATGAAAATATTTCATAGTTGAATTCATGAGTCAATTATAGCTGGACCACTATGGAAAACCTGGAAGCACTGGATGGCCGTTTTGTCCTAGTATAGGACTCCTCAATAGTGCGCACCCACGATCCCGCCTCGCGGGATTCTAACCCAGGACCTGTCGGTCTCGCGCACTAAAGCTTAACCTCTATACCACTGGGCCGGCACCCAACGGTTTCATGTCTAACTTCAACCAATCCACGAAATCGAGTGACACATCCACCATTGTCTTCAGTGAGTTACTATCTCACACAGACCTCGTTGAACTCCACTGGTCACAGCTTCTCAGATTATAAAAACTGAGAATGATCTCGATTTTATGAAATCCCTTACTATTTTGAAATTCTACTATTAAAACGTATACTGAATTGGAATCTATTGCAATACCTTTAATTTTTGTCAAATGTCTCTTATGTCACTGAACATAGTGTGGTGATGATTACCTAATTTATAAATTTAATCTTGTAGTTTTATGCTGACCAATACATGTTATTCATAACTTTTGTTATTAACTAAACAGAATGCACTCATTAAAACATTAAATAAGTAAGATTGGTTCAGCGAAGAGTTCTGTTTTCGGATAATTCATTTTAAAAGCTGTACAATCGCAAATATATATACTTATTTTTTTCAGAATGATAATAATTACAATAATAATGACAATAAACCTCTGTTAGACGTGGTGACAGTGAGGTAGAATAAACAAAGCTATTAAAAAATTCTTTCTTTTCAAACAGGGGAATTAATAATCGTCTGATTGTTAATGGCTTATATATTCATCAAAAGATAGATAGTGAAATTATCATTGGAAAAGGATGGCTCAGCAAGTCAAGATAAAATGTTGAAATTCAGATTAAATGTAATCAGAAGGATCATAGAAATAGAAACAAACCAGTTATTAACACATGGAAACAGCATTCTCCAATTTAGGTCATTTAAATTTTGTAAACATTTAACGAATGCTTGTCATTTCTATTCTCAAAAAAAGAAAAAAGAAGTTCATTTTGATTGGTTAACTACTCTATCCAGTTATATGGTGATTTTTTGAAATATAGATACATTTGATCATTACAAGCTGATATAAGTAGTTTTGTTTTAAACATTCATTCATCAATTAAAGTTTCTTTCTGAATAACTAAGTAATTCATGTTATATAAGTGTTTATATTGTTAGTATAGGATAAATATGATCAGAATTAAAAATACAGACTATAGACTATAGTAATACAAAGTTTATTCTATTGGACAAATGTAAACTAATTCTCTATATTCAAATACATTTTTTTATACAAAGAAAGGATGCACAAGATGATAGAAAATATGTTGATTGTTTTCAATGTAACAATGAGAATTTTCATTTTACATTTATGTTATGTAGGTAAGTGATTTTGAACTATTTAAAGTAATGAATGTATTTCTGGACAAAAATCCTTTAGAAAAAGAAGACTCGAACTGATGAATTTTCCTTGTGTATACATTAAACATGATTAATCAGAGTACGGATTTGTTTATTAACTGCAGTTTAAGGTAGACTAACACTTGTATCTATGTAGACTGTTCCAGTATTGAAATTAATCTGAGAATGTTATCCATGTGTCCAAACTCTATTTCTAACACTAGTCACTAGATCGTTAATAACAAAACAGTGTATATTTACACTTAGCTGATCATATTTGTTATCACAATCAAAGAGGGGTTTTGTGGATATTATAGTGATTTCAATGATTGAGATCATGAGTCAACTGAAGCTAGACCATTATGGAAAACCTGGATGCACTGGATGGTTGTTTCGTCCTAATGTGAGACTCTTCAGCAGTGCGCACTCACGATCCTGCTTATTTCTATTCCTCAATTAAGCTTATATATATCCTTTACTATATATATGTATCATGTATTCATAGCTAATTTCGGTTTCAAAGTAGGATTTCCAATTAAAATTATATGATAATATATTTAAAATGATGAATATCATTGTTTAAATGAGTTAGTGATAATGCTCAACAACATAAGTGGGTTATTTATACCAATTAGACTAATACGAACGATAGTAACTTTATTCTCTCTTGTCTATCTGTTTGTCATAAATGTTTAACTTCAAATATATTTCTTCGGTTTATTTTTGTTATTAGTTTTGTTGTTTATTGACATTGTTATTTAAAGTCCTTAATCTTCAATCTGTCTTGAAATGAAAACAATTATTTATACTTATTGTGTATTTTTATGGTCACCACCCAATAATGATGATAGTTTTTGAATGAAATCATAATTTTAGAATGATGTGAGTAAATATAATTTTGTATAGATTTCTAACGAAACACAAAGTTTCGATGAATCTATTTGATCCAGTATGAATGCCAATGGATTCTAGCACATCAGAAAAGTTCAAACACTTCTTTGAACTCCAGCGCACAAATAACATTATTGACGTCTTAATGTAAATAAGATTCTGCCCTAGTTCTGGCAAACTCCTCTTGTTTAGTAATGAAAGTGACAATTTTACCCTATATCATGTCAATTCTGTTCTATGTAACCATTCAAACAAGTAAATTGATTTGATCTAAGATTTATTTCCAATAACTGTCATAAATTCAAGTACTGGGTATTTTGTATGTAAAATAAATCATTTAAAGAATTTTGAAATTATCTTTAACTATGAGTGTTTTGATCTTCAAATACACAGTCCTACTAATCAGCTACTTAAGGCATTTTAGCAAACCAGTAGAACAGGTTCAGTAAGAGCTTTAACAAACAAGGTATTGATTCGCAAAGTCCTAACTGCCGTTTTATGTTATGTAAGCATAAGTTTACTTTTTGATTGGTTTTGGTAAAACACCTAGCGTCAACGATATATGATGATCAAATGACTCTAAATAAATCCTTCAGTGCTAAACATTTTATTCACGCTTACGTTTTCGTTCCCCTTTCCTTATACTATATTTTCATAATTTTTATAATTTTCAATAAACTGATTTCCGAATATTAACTATTCTTACCACTGGCTTCTCTTTGATTCATGCATATGAAGTAAGATGGTGTGCATTAAAGTAAATATGTACTAAACCCAATGATATTTTTTTGTCTGAATCACTTTTGAATTGTTAGATAGCTGAATTATTAGTTTTTGTAATTGATAAGTTAAAAAATTATTTTTAAAAACGGTCGAAAAGGGTTGAAAAACTATCCAAATCGTTTTTTGCATAAATAGTAAAAGTATTAGATCTTATTACTTACTTACTTACTTACTTACTTATGCCTGTTACTCCTCGTGAAGGAGCATAGGCCGCTCACCAGCATTCTACATCCAACCCTGTCCTGGGAAATCCTTTCCAGCTCTTTCCAGTTGTTATTCATCATTTTCATATCTGATTCTATGTCCCGACGTAATGTATTATTTGGCCTACCTCTCTTCCGCCTTCCTTCAGGATTCCAAGTTAGGGCTTGCCTCGTGGTGCAGTTTGATGACTTGCGTAATGTATGTCCTATCCATTTCCATCGTCTTCTCCCGATTTCCCCTCCAGCTGGAAGCTGGTTTGTTCTCTCTTACAAAAGGCTGTTGCTGATGGTATCCGGCCAATGGATGTTGAGTATCCTGCGTTGACAACCATTTATAAATACTTGTACCTTCTTGATGGTGATTGTTGTAGTTCTCCAAGTTTCAGCTCCGTACAGTAGAACTGTCTTGACGTTCGTATTGAAAATTCTTACTTTGATATTAGATGACAGTTGTTTTGAGTTCCATATGTTCTCCAACTGTAAGAATACATCCCTTACTTTCTCGATTCTTGCCTTTACGTCTGCATCCGAACCTCCTTGTTCATCGACGGTGCTTCCCAGGTATGTGAAGGATTCTACATCTTCCAGAGTTCCGCCATCAAGAGCGATTGGATTGCTGTTCTCAGCTTTGAATTTGAGTACCTTGGTTTTCCCTTTGTGTATACTGAGGCCTACTGATGCAGAGACTGCTGCTACACTGGCTGTCTTTATCTGCATTTGTTTGTGTGTATGCGATAGGAGGGCTTTATTACTTACATACATTATATTATTTATCAAAGAGTACTTGCTTTAATAATGATGTGCTATGTATTTATGCATAAAGAGTGGTGTTTATATGTTTATTAAGTAACATTTGAATTTTCTATTGCTGAGAATCCATGTTAACAATTCCCTCATTAGTATAGAATTAATTCAAATTGTATGAAACAATTACTATTCAACTGACTAAGCAGATCTAACTACAATGAGTTCTTTTTTATAAACGAAATTAAAGAATATGATTAAAAAAATATATTGATTTCATAAATCAGTAATCCAGGCAAGGCTCGTTACAACGAAACTAAGATACGTTAGTTTCAAATATCAAAGCCGATACGTTTTTTTGGATAAATTGTTTAAAATGTGAAGTTTCAAATCTACATCAAGGCATTTGAAGTTCCACGAATAAAGCGTGTTGAACAGCACAAAAGATTTTTTAACTATCATTGTCATTCGAAAAATCTTTAATGCTATAAATTTTGAACATGTTAAGTAAAAAAATATTATGGTTAACTTTCTATCATTTAAACATATTACATACTACAAACTTTGAGCGGGTTTATGCATAGATAAGTAGTAAGCCCTGAGGATAAAACTTAGGTCGATCAGGTACAACAGAATTGATGATCGGTCCGATTACTGAGACCACCTAAGTTGGCTATTACGGTTGCCCCTACTATCCATGAGGAGGCCTTAGTTCGAATTTCGCTTCCAGGTTTATACATACAATTCCCATTTAAAGCGTTTTATACTATTCTCATATTTTGGCCCTGGTACTCATATGACTCAGAACGAATGTGTTGAATTTTAAATTCTTATACAAATTTTATATAATTATCTAGACAGTGAGCAAATAATTCTAAAACAATTTATGAACTAACAACTCTTTTACTTACTGGGGATGTGTAGATCTGACTTGACGACTAACAACAACGACTGTCATAATTTCTAAAATCATAGGCTTCGTTTTCTGTTAAAAACTTCCCAAGATAAAAAATAGATTCATAGTAGCTATCAAATAACGTTTATAGACTAATTTGTCACTAAATATTAGTACGTGTTTTACTGACAAATCCCTAGTTCAAATCGAATCCTTCTAAGTAAATTTGCATTACGGAAATCAGAATGGTTGTGTTCTGTTTAATAACAAAACGGTTAAAAATGATAGGTAGATTGGTATTTTCCATCTTAATTTATTCAGTATATTTATATTTGAATCTTTTCCGACACTCTACTAGTATAATATTTAAGCTATTTAAGCCTCCCTGAATAACATTAAAGAGAGATACAGTCGTTCCAACGTTATATCTGGGTAAAAAATTATAAAACTACTCTTACTCAGATAAACAGTGACCTCATAATGGTTAAGTGAGAGAGACCTCATGGCTATTGCATGAATGAAACTATATAAACGAAATTATATTTGCAAACCTACTCGACTTTACAGTAAGTTATATCTATTATTAGTAAATCACAACCATAATTGCAAGCAAATCTATGTCTCACTAAATTATCGTGTTGTCTTCACTATATCGAAAAATCGTCGAAGAGAAAAGAAACCTTTTCCAGTAGATTATCAATCTAAATTCAATAAATCCTTTTAGATCATATTTTGCGAAATAGTGATACCATTAAGTACAATTGAAACGACTTCTTTATGATGAAGAACTGAATTCTATATGAAATATTTCACGTCAATATTTGTTATTATATATATTTTATGAATCAAACAGTGCAATTACCTCAGAATTTATATTTCTCACCTCAAACGTCGATGAATATTTCAGCATGATTCTTGGAATTGGTTCAGTGGCTTTAATTTTAGGTACTGTCTCAGACATACTAAATTATCTCGTAGGATTATACTTTGAATCAATCAATTATACTTTTTCTAAGGACAATATAGATACATATAAGTAGATCAGCTTTTAATAAGATGTTGTTCGGCGTAATATAACATGATTCGAAAAAACTTTCTTACAAGGTATTTTAAAATGAACATTGATAGTGAATCAATCAAGTAAGTAAAAGTTATTCGATTAATCGAGGTATATCTGTCCAGTAGCTATGCATTTTTGTATACATGGGTGTCTTGCAAACTAATGATCAGTTGTAATAATCTTCAAAAGAGAGTTATCTTATTTTTTTAACTGCTAGCTGTATTCTTAAGACTACTATTTATTAGTTTAGAAACAATTATCCTAGGAGGAAACATAACTCATCTATATTAGTATAAATTTTAATTCCATTTTACATTTATATTTGAATCGGTGTAATGAAACTTAATTACTTCCGCTTGTTTTTTTTTGTTAACTAACATCAACTTATGTAACTGTGTTTATGGAT